CCAGCCAGCCAGCCAGCCAGCCATCCATCCATCCATCCATCCATCCATCCATCCATCCATCCATCCATCCATCCATCCATCCATCCATCCATCCATCCATCCATCCATCCATCCATCCATCCATCCATCCATCCATCCATCTCCTGTGCAGCTAAAGCAGGAAGAATGTAATGATTTTGCTAATTTTAGCTGTATTTAACTATCTATGATTTTGGTAGTTTTAACTCTTAGCTACAGTTTTGCTAATTTTAGCTGTATTTATGATTTTGGTAGTTTTAGCTGTTAGCTACAGTTGTGCTAATTTTAGCTTTTAGCTTCAGTTTAACCAATAATAGCTTACATCTACAGATTTTAGCTACTGCTTTACTCATTTTAACATGTTTTGCTTGTTTGGACTTCAACAACTAAGTTTCCGCTTCGTAAACAAATTTCAGCAAAGCCATTCAGATCCAGCATTAACTGCATCTTCACAGAAAAAGAAGATATGTCTAGTGTTTTAGTAACTTTTGGATACAAACACTAAATCTAAACTAGCAGATCTTGAATGGATAATGTCCACGGCTTCACATGCCAAAGTTTTAAACAAAGAACTTGTGCGATCGGTTAGAGCTCAGAGTATGGCACTCTGCTACTACCACACTAACTTTGAGCTTAATATTTGCACAGCTGTTACGAGTTATAGACATTTTTATATTTGCAATGTTCAATCAGCTGTGGCAGCCATGTTGAATCAGTTTGACTCAAAAAGTAAATCAGATGTACATCCAATAATTACTTTCTGAAGGGTTTCTTTAAAATCTGTCTACTGGTTCATGAGATATTTTGTTAACAGACACACACAGGGGCAATTACCGGTAGACGATCTTTCGTCTTCCGCAGCAGGAAACTAAAAACAAAAACTGATCTCTTATTTTTATGGTGGCAAAAACCACAGTAATTATTGTTGTGCTTTTGTAAAACGAGCACAGGATGAAACAAATGTTTGTGGTTAGGTGGAGCTGGTGAAATGTGAGGGTTGTAGATAATGTGAGGTTGTAAAATCACAACTCCTAAACATGAGTTTCCATGCAGCCGTGATAGTGGGGTTGTTTCACCGGGACAACACGCTGATAAAAACCCACAACTGAACTAAAGTCAGCGCGAGTATTTTACTCAAGTCCACCGGCGACTTCGCATCACATGCTGCTGCTTCTTACCTTAAACTGTCGCAGGTCCCACACTTTCAGAAGCCCGTCGTCCCCCCCGGACAGCAGGAATGGTTCGCTCCGGTTCCAGCTGATCACGTTGACGTCTGACGAGTGAGCCTCATCGGCTGAGAGCATCGAGTTGGGCGGGGCACGGATATCCCAGATACGGATGGACTGATCCACAGAGCAAGATGCAAAAACCTGGTAAAAAAAAAATAAAAATTGTAAGATTTAAACTCAAATATAAACATCCAACAAAGTTCAGTCAGGTCAGCTGGACGGTTTCTTGTTGAGATGTTTCGTCTTTCATCCAAAGGACTTCATCAGTCTGAGGAGCCACAACAAACTCGGTCCTACGAGCAGCACACGCACATAGTGGACCAAACAAGAAGATGACCTGACTGAACTTTGTTGGATTTTTTTTACCTGGATTATTGAGCATGAACTTTGAAACACTTTGGCTGTGGCTGTCTCAGAGGAGGTGAGGGGGGAAAGGGCGGGGCCCAGAAAACATCTTATTACCAGCAAACTGGTTGGTCCACTAAGCGAGTGTGCTGCTTGTGGGACTGAGTTTGTTGTGACTCCTCGGACTGATGAAGTCCTTTGGATGAAGGACGAAACGTCTCAACAAAAAAAGAAACCGTCCAGAGGACCTGACTTAACTTTGCTGGATTTTTTACCTGGATTATTGAGCATGAACTTCAAATATAAACATTTGTCAAAATCACACCTATTTAAAATTAAAAACCCAACATTCCTTAAAGTAATGCACATAACCAAACACATTTTGTGCAAATGTTTTAGACGGGATTGTAGCCATTTTGGCCAAACCTTGAAAATAACATTATGAACAATCTCCTGTGATATTGCAGGATGTCACACTCAGAGTATGTGTTAAATGACTCTGCTACAATAAACTTCAGTTTAATATTTATAAAACTGACTATGCTATAGCCATTTCTGTGTTTTTATAGTTAGCTGGCTGTGGCAGCCAACTTAAATCGGGCCGACTTCAAAAAAGGCAGTTGGTTTGAAATGTGCATTCAGTCAACAAACCAGGAAGTTTCACTAAAATCTGTCCAGTGGTTTAGAAGATATTTTGGTAAGACACATAAAAGTTTGTTTTTCAGCTGTGAGCGATAACGAAACTTATCCTTTATGACCGCACTTCAGCAGGAAGTACGCAGAGCAAGTCCCCATAAGTCATGTTGATTGATCCAAAATGTTTGACGCAAAGCACTGATTGTACATTTAGGGAAACAGGACGCACATACCACAAACTAGTTCGGCCGCTTTTTCAGTCAGAGGCTTTCGTTGCCGTGATACAAAGCTGCAGATTCCAGGCGTTCCTTGAGACGGCAACATGATTTTATTCATTCAAACCCACGAGTTCACTCAGCACACCCTGTTTTTAACTCATCTGCTTTCTAAGTAACGCCTGAAGAGCTCAGGTGAGTCAGGGAGTTCAGTACGACTGAATGTTGCACGGTGACACATTCTAAACCGGTTTTTCTGTAAGCTTTTAAGACTCGGGGCAGTGCCTACACGTAACTACAGATGTGTGCAATCAAACATGCTGTTCAACTGGCGGCCCAGGGGCCACATCCGGCCCACAGGTAAGCTCAGTGTGGTCCACATAAAACTAAATTTTAGATTAATTAAACTTACATGAGGACAACTGCCAGATGTTTGGGTCCTGCGTTGCTTTCAGTAACTGTGGCCTCGAGCCACTGAGCTGAATCGCCCTGGCTGAACCTTCAGCTCTAACAGGAGCGACAGCAGTCTTAACCCACAGCCTCACTGCAGTCGTACGTACCGTGGCTTCAGTGGGCGACCACTGCAGATCCTCCACGGACTTGCTGTGGGAGCTGAAGGGTCGCTGGTCAATCTTCCAAGAAGCCCCGCCCTCACGCGGCTCCCAAACGTGGATGTTCTTTTTGCAGTCGCCGCTGACGAGACGACCTGTCGAAGGAAGGAATACAAGCGTTATTTCAATTTCTTTTGTTGAAAGACACATTTATACCTCCTTATCGCTTGCCTTACCTGGCGGAGAATGATCGTCTGTGGGTGGCTGTTAGCGAAATATCTAATGAACCACTGCATAGGTTTTAATGAAACTCACAGAAAGTAGTGGCTGAAACGCATATTCTGAGTGTCAAGTGCTCGGGTAAGATTTTAGTTTGGAACGTTGGCACGAAGGGCAGTGGAGAACAAGCAACCTTTAATAACATGCTAGTTCACATGTAGTGTTTGTTTCCAAAAGTTAAGATAATTCAAACAATACTGTAGATGTATTAAAGTGAGTTTTTGTTGTAAGGTTATAAATAATATGCAACTTGTTGGAGATAGATTTGCAACAACAGATAACATATTTGTTTCTCCAAATGAAGGAGCTCTTCACCTTCCAGCAGGACAACGACCCGAAACGCGCAGAGCTGCAACGGAACGGTTCAGATCAAACACATTCACGTGTTAGAACGGCCCAAAGTCCAAAGAGTCCGACCGAGAACCTGTGGCTACACGAGAAAAATGACACTCTCCATCAAAATCTGACCGAGCTGGAGTTATTTTGAAAAAGCATGGACAAAAACTTTCGTCTTTAGTTCAGGGGTCTGCTGCCTTCACGATCCAAAGAGTCATTTCTGCCCCATTCGTTCACTTAAATGTCCGGAGCAACAAAACCTGTTTCAACTGTGATCATCAACTGGTGGCCCATGGACCAGTTTAAGTTCGTTGGAGGAGGCTTTTCAGGCCAGTAGGAGTGACATAAAACTAAAAATAGCGAATGATTTTTTTAACACTTATTGAAGTTTTTACATTTTAAGACAAAAGAATAAGAGTAATAATAGTTATTACTAGGCCTGTCACGATAACAAATTTTGCTGGGCGATTAATTGTCTTAGAAATTATTGTGGTAAACGATAATATTATTTGAAATTTGACAATAATTAGTAATTATTGTAAAATTTAAGAAGAAATGTTGGTTAATTATTGTGTGTAGTGCCTTTTTTGACAACTGGATGGCAGTATAAGACTGTTTGAACCGAAGGATGGATAGTGAGGGAGCGAGCAGCGTGTCTCTTTAAGAAAAATGGGAGGGAGGCCCCTTGACGTGACATGGGCTGTCTCTCCTTCCTTTTTTTTTTACAGTTCTCATAATGGCCGACGCTCAATGTGATTTAAGCTCTTTCGCATGGCATTTTTCACACAAAACTTTTAATAAAAAACCAGTAAACAAGTTCTCAGCTTCTTTTTGCAGAGAAAAACAACTTTTTCCATGAAGGCACGGGTTTCAACTGTGAATTTTGGAGCTTTGACAAAATGGAGTCCCTTAATGATCCAAAAACACGATTTTGGACGGTTAAAATGGATTTTAGAGAAAAGAGAAAGGGAGTGGTCAGTGAAGAGCACCAGAGTTGAGCCTTTTGTCATCCAGTGTCTTCAGAAAGAGAGAGACCCGAAGAAAAGATAAAGACGATAAATGAAAATGAGGTCGATATTTATCATGCGATTAATTGATTAATTGATTTATCGCGACAGGCCTAGTTATTACCAATAAAAAATAAATACCAGTAAATTAAAACAATGAAACATGCAAGTCTAGTGATTTTTTTTATTGTGGAAAAACTAAGTATCCTACTTTAAAGAACTAAAGCATAAAGTTAAAGTGAGTATTTTTCCCTCCTTGTATTTGTACTAGTATTCACAAATTTGCAAAAGAAATGACATGGAAGTGTTAAAAACCAGCAGTGGTTTATTCATTTTGGTCAAAGCTTGAAAGAGACGCTGCAGAGGAACCAAAGGGCCACATGTGGCTCCAGAGCCACAGGTTGCAGACCCCTGCTCTAGATGTACAAAGCAGGAACAGACAAAACCAGATTTATTTATTTGTAAAATATATATAATCTTAAACCAAGCATCGTTTTCCTTCCACTTCACAAGTCTGCGCTGGTCTGTCCCATCAAGTCCCAGAAGAAAACTTCAAAGTCTGTGATTGAGACAAAACGTGCAGAGGTTGATCAAGTCATACTCACCAGGAACTTTAGGGGACCAGTCTATGGCGAAGCCTTCGCTCATGTGTCCTGAGAAACTGAAAAGAGCCGCAGCTTCCTTCTGCTGCTGGACGAAAGCAGCCATGGCAGCCGAACTGTGGACGGCCTCCAGCTGAGGTCGAAGGTCGAATATTTCCACCTGGTCCTTCTCGGACCACACAGCAGCCAGCGCATGCTGTCCGAACTGGGTCACCTGGAAGTCCAGGAGCAAAACCGATCAGCACGCCGAGAAAACGCCTTTTTATTCCATCGTCCGCGCGAAAAAAAAAAAAAAAAAAAAAAAAGGCAACCTACTCGAACTCTGTTGATCCCGCCATAGTGAGGCATCATGGCGAGCTCCAGCTGAGGCTTCTTGTCTTCATCTTCCTCCTCTTCGTCGCTCTCCTCGTCGCTGCTCTCCTTCTCCTCCTCGTTGTCTTTCTCCGTTTCGTGGAGGTTGTGCATGCGCATCACCAGAAGTCTGAAACACGTTCAGCACATTTACCAGGAGCGTGCGGGTGGCGGTCAAAACTACCCGACGGGTCCAAACGCGTCTTGTGACAAAAGTTTCCATTAAAACCACAGCGACAGTTTAAATGGTGGGGAACACTAAGTGAACAGAACCTGGCCGTGTTGTCCACTGTAGATACAGAAAAAAAGATTACAAAACTGTCTGTAACCAAACTGTGACACACAGACAGCAACAGGTCAGGCTGGTATTAAAATAATACAAGTTTGAACATACTTGTACTGATTGTGGAACGATTACACAATTCTTATTATCAGTTCAAACCAACTCAGAATTAAAACATCAATCACATCAAAGGTGATTCATTAAAATCGTGCATATTTATGGAAACATTTCATGCCGTTGTTTCAGACTAAAGGTCATATTTTGTTGAGAAATTAGACTTTTGTAGCCGTTTGGGTCAAACCTTGAAAAAAAAATAAAATTATGCAAAGGTGTGCTCAAAGTACGTGTCGTGAACGACTCCCAGCTACTACCACACCAACTGTGGCTCCTTTTGTTCTTCAATCAAGGTGGCTCCAAAAGATAATCAGCTGTAGATCAATTGAACAATTACTGTCAGGTTCATGAGATATTTTACTAACAGACACAAGCACACAGATAAAGGTAAAACCATTAGCCTCTGCCTTCTGACGGCAGTGGATAAAAATGTTGCAAGTTTCTTAAAAAAAGATGGTGATTGTCTCAAATACTAAAAAGCAACTTCACATTAATCTACTTCTTGTTCGCCTCGGGCCTTCGCTCTGCATTTCATGAGCAGATTACTGCCCGCCGCCATACGAGCTGGGCAGTCAGGTAAACGCTCGTGTCTGTTTGCTTGTCTGTTAGCAACGTAGCTCACGCACCACTGGATGGATTTTATTGAAACTTTCAGGAAATACCCAATAAATGCACGTCTGCAACTTGTTAGCTTTGGGGGCCAACCCAATTCAAGATGGCTGCCACAGGAAAACTACATTGCAAAGCACATACGTTACCATAATTCAGTCAGTTTTACAAATACTGAGCTAAGACTTGGTGTGGTAGTAACTGAGAGTCATTCCCATCACAAATTATAAGCTAATACTAAGATTTTTGCTTAAACTTTATGGCAATACCTATTGGGATGTAATTTTGTTTCTGTTAGCAAATTATCTCAAGACAGACTGGACAGATTTTAATGAAACATTCAAAAAGTCATCACTGGATGTGAAGCTACATCTGATTAACTTTTAGAGTAATGGCTGCAAAAGCCAATTGACTTTAGCCAACACAAAGAAGGTTATAGCTCAGTCAGCTTATCAGGTACTGAGCTAAGATTTGGTGCGGCAGTAGCTGAGAGTCATCCCAAACACGAACACTGACAGATCGCTCAAGATCTTTGTTTATAATTTCGACACGCAATAAGCCGACCGTTATGTTTCCTGTCAAGAAGTGCTGCTTGTCCGCCCCATCCAGAACTAAAAATCAACAAATTAAGAAATTTTTATCCCCCCACCTGTAAAATTTCATTATGACAGACTTATAATAACACAAATCCTTAGAAATCTGGTGAAAGAACGCAGTCGCATTTCTGTCTCTTACACGTACACTTGTGCAAACATCTTGACTTTATACGTTTGGCCCCAAACGACTGAAGTGATCCAACTGTTTGGATGTAGAAACAAACACGCCACCGTGTGTGCACACTACAACCACTTCATGCAAACGTTTGTCTTCTGTTAAACTAAACACTTACAAGTGCTGCGCATTTTTTAAATTCTGCGTGAAAACTAAATCATAAGGTTTACGTCTCAGCACAGAATCAGGAACGCCTTCTAGAATAAAACAAAGATCTTAAAGCTCACGCTCTTCCTGTCATTTAACCACACTGTCGAGCAGAAAAGAGAACGCGCTCAGAGTTTAGATGCATTTATAGCTGACGGCAGAGGAGCTGCTCCGTCTGCATTACTCTGCGAGAAGTTCTAGATAGGCCTGTCACGATAAACAAGAAATCAATTAATCGCATGAAAAATTAAAACCAGGTTAATAATTTTCATTTTTCTAATTTATTTTTTCTTTGTGTCTCTCTCTTTCTACTGAAGACACTGGATGACAAAGGGTTTGAGGAGTTAGCAAGCTAAAGAAACGCTATTTGATATTGGGGTGGGGGTGGAATTGGTTTCAAAATTGAACGCAACAGCAGCAGCAGTGTGGGAACACTTTGGACTCAAACCAAATGATCGAGGCGAACCGCTGAACTTTTGCTAGCCGGTATGTCGCATTTGTCATAAAACGGTAGCACCCAAGAGCTGCAGTACAACCAACTTCATACTAATGTTACTAATGGTTATTATTTGTTGAGGGGCAATTTAGTTTACAGACTTCATAATCCATACTGTTTTGGTTGAATGTACTTTTTATTTCCATTTTGTTTTTTTTTGGTTGCATTTAGTTCTTATTCAAGTGCATATTTTGTTAGCGGAGGCTGAGAGTCCATTTTATTTTTGTTTGTTTTGTTTGTTTTCCAGTTCCAGTGTTCTTTTGAAATTAAAGTGTATTGCTCTTTGAGAGGATGTACTTGCATTATTGTGCCATTATCATTACATTAGTTAAAAAAAGGTCTCCAAACAATATTATCGTTTATCGCAATAATTTCCGAGACAATTAATCGCGCAGCAAAATTTGTTATCGTGACCGGCCTAGTTCTAGATGGTGTTGTGGCTTCATCGCAGCTCTGCACGCATCATACGAAGGAGACTGGAAGTGTTTTACCAGATTCAACTCCAGGTTACTGAAACCTGGCATGAAGGAAATAGATTGTGAACTGCCCATTTTAACCCATAAGTCTTTGCAATATTCAATCTGCAATGCACATTAGGCACAAACACACAGTTGAATTCCATAGAAAATGCACCAAATGCTACGACACTGGCTCCCTACAGATGTATATATGAAACATTTTCCTCGCAGTGGAATGGTCTAAAACGCCAGGGCCTCGTCTTTATGTTCAACATGTCCTCCGGTACGACACAGCAACTATTGCAACATTTGCAAGTGGATTTTTGAAAGTCGTGACAGTCTTTCAATCTTTATATTTGGTTTAAATGTTTGTATTTTTTAAGGAATAGTCTGTGGTGATTTTTTTTTAAAGTAATATTCTGTCCAATACTGATCGGCTGTATCTAATCAACAGTGAACTTGGATGTTGTTTGGTTCAGAAAACGGCGACTAATTACAACAGTGTCACACAAAAGTGGAACAGTTTAAATGCAGTATTCTTTCACACCTTGACGCTCTTGTATTAAAAAAGGGGTAGCTAATAGCTATAACCCTGAAAATGTAAAAACAAACAAACAGGAAACTTGAGATTTGTGCACTTTCTCTACATATTCACCGAGATTTATGTTAAGGCTGATAAGTTTACTAACTTTTGATAACTATTTGATAGAACAAATATAATAATAATAAAAAAAAACTTTTTCATTAGTGCATTTTTAAAGCTCCATCTCCATTTTCCCCAAGCAACACTCTCCAGCTCTTCCTGGGGGACCCCATGGTGTTCCCAGGCCTATCATCCCTGTCTTTTGGACACTCGGACACCCTACGAAGGAAGCTCGTTCTTTCCGTCATGATCCAAACTTCATGAAGATGGGTGATGGTTGGAATATAGATAAGAGTGTAAATTAGAGCTTCGCCTTTAGACTCAGCTCTTTCTTCGCCACACACAAAAGCAATGCCCACATTACTGAGGATGAAGCCTCGATTCGTCAATCTATCTCCCACTCCATCCATCACTCATGAACAAGACTCCCAGATACTTCAGCTTCTCCAGCTGACGTAAAGACTCGCTTCACTGACCCGGGGAAGGAACTTAAAGAGTATAATTTCCGATTGAGAATTATTTAGACAACAACATAAGAGTCTTTCTTGCTTTTCTAAGTGCCAAAAAAAGGTAACTGGACCGTATTGTTTGTTTTTGCAATAATTCAAACACAAGAGTGGCCGTTCTATGCTTTTAAAACTTATGCTAAAATGAACTCACGTGCAAATAACTCCCCTCCCCTCACTTCAGAGGGTCTACCGGCCTCAGCCTGGTTCACATTAAGAGGTTTTGATCTCAAGTATAAAACTGACTGAGCATTTTACAGGAAATTCAGGAAAATTGATTGGAAACCCGTTTCTGCGCATGCGCGTGGAGCCTGTTGTTTTGGAGGCCAGTACCTGTTCTTCAGGGCTGTATCCGCCTGCGTGCCGGCGCACAGCAGCATGGACAGAGGGAACTGCTGCCTGCCGTCCCCATCTCCATCCTTCAGCACGTCAAAGCTCAAACAAGGCGCACCTGAAGGTAAATCAAACAATAAACGACCTCAGGTGACGCCACACGCCGACATAACCGGACTGAGTCTGCTTCTTGCCTGTTTGACACTCGTGGTACATGCGGTACGCGGAGCGGTCCATCTCCAGCCTCTCCCCGGGTTGAAGCGGCTCGATCCCGGGGACGTACACCTTTTTCTCCGCCTCTCCTTCCTCCTGCATGTCTTCTTCGTCCACTTCCTCCTCGTCGCTGCCCGCTTCGTCCATATCTTCTTGCTCCTCTTCTTCAGCGAACGCGTGCTCTTCGGGCGCAGACATCTTGGAGAGCCAACTTCCGTTCAGCGGGGCGGTCACGTGGTTTAAACATCCTCCTCCTTCTCCTCCTCCTCCTCGTGTCCCACACGGTTTACGGGAATTCAGCTGGCTCCTTTTGCTCTTGGCTCCCAGCTGCCAGGAAAAAAAAAAGTAACACGTCTCCACAACTGTCCATGAAATCATCCATGCAAGAAGGTCATCCTGACCCTCTGAAAAACCCCTTCCTTTCTTAATATAAAACGGAAATAATTCATGCAATATCTGGTCAAATGCAGGCCATGACCCAGGACGCGATTTGCCACAGGGTCTGAGTCACAATCAGGCCTTTTACTGGATCCTTCAGAGACCAGGCCTGGTCCTGACACAAGAACCCTTGTGACCGATTCACAGAAAGCAGGATTTAACTGCATTCTGGATAAACAGCCTCAAATATTTGTGCATTTAACTGCGACAAGTGACTTGTGTCAATACAGAGTTAATATATACGTCTCCACCTCAAAAGCTTCAAAATGATATGTAGTTTGTTGAAATGTGGCTATTTATCACCTGGCCTGACGTCAAATTAGTAATGTTTACGAGTGCGCTGGTTTGAAAACATTTTTATTGGCCTGGCAGTGACACCAAATATTATACGAAGGGATTTACCGGCAAAAAAAGAGGAGTCACTTTCAAAGGATATTATAAAAGTTGGTGAACAAGTGGTTATTTTTAAAGACAAAACTGTACCAAATTAGATTATAAGGTAAATTAGGAATACTATAAGCTATACACCGGTAAGTTTTCTATAAACTATACAAGTATATATAATAAGCTATAAATATATATAAGTATATATATTATAAGCTACTATAAATTATCTGGATCAATAGGTGATGTCCAAATGGTCTCATTTTATGCAAATCTCAACATTTTCACTTATTTTTGCACTGCAGCCTGTGCTCATTCTGACTCGTTTTGCACTTAACACGTTTTTCCTTTTACAAATTACAAGACAAACTCAAGAGTTAAAATTTAATGTTCAAGACAAGCCTGTTTCCCTGGTGACCGTTACAAAATACACTCCAGAGAGAGCCCTGGGAGGACAATGGTGCACGCTGCATGTCTAGGAGCCTACAAGCAGAGACAAGTGTGAGCATAATGGCTGCACTTTTATTCCTCATATATAGATTAGGACAGGAGCCAAATCTGCCCCAAACCCCCACTGCTACCTCCCCACCCCGTAACATATCATCAAGATCTGTTGTATCAGGCTTACTTTTGTTTGAGTTGTTTGCAGCTAAAGACTTCTTTAAATTGACGGTCGCAGTTCACACAATGCATACTTTTGGTGTGCTGGAATGCAAGACTAGATTAAAAAAACAACAACTCTTAAACCGAACCAGAGTTTAAACAGTTTGTACTGACAGAAGGTAGTAGAAGTTACATCTTTGATATTGTACTGAAGTATAAAAAAAAAGAAAACAAGCTGTAAAAACTTCAAATTTGAATGTATCAAAAGAAAAAGCACTTCGTTGCTCATTCAGATCTTTTGATGTGGGGTTCTGTGGAAAGGTTATGAACAAACACTATCTCACCTGTAGCAGATAGCTCTTTGAACAACCTCAGATAGGAGAAAGAGTTTAATTATAACCAGGCTGACTAGTTAATGTGTAGTCCAAGGGAGGCCAAAATAATATGCATTGCTGTCATCTCAAAACAATCTGTCTCAAAAAATTCCTATTGGTTCATGTGAATGCACTTGCACATTTCATGATTTATATTTACATAAAACTGTTATTTTCAAGCACAACTTGCAGCAGTTAACGGTTACACTTCCTGTTTATCCTTGGACACTTCTGGCTGGAATAACAACATTTTTGCAGGAATAACTGTAATGTGAAAATGTCAGAAGCCATGTTGTCAAACAGTGTTTGGTAGGGGTGGGAATCTTTGGGCACCTTGCAATTTGATTCAATAACCATTCAGAGGGCTGGGATGCGATGTTAAATGACTGTCAGAAATCTTGAAACTTAAATGACTGACTAATTTTATAAACACCAATTTATATTTTTCATACCTATCATCATTTAAAAACACTTAAGAGGCTGCTGACCAACATTTAGTGTAGATGCTAACTGCTGCTGACCAACAGTTAGCAACGATGCTAACTGCTGCTGACCAACAGTTAGCAACGATGCTAACTGCTGCTGACCAACAGTTAACATAGATGCTAACTGCTGCTGACCAACAGTTAGCAACAATGCTAACTGCTGCTGACCAACAGTTAACATAGATGCTAACTGCTGCGACCAACAGTTAGCAACGATGCTAACTGCTGCTGACCAACTGTTAACATAGATGCTAACTGCTGCTGACCAACAGTTAGCATAGATGCTAAGTACTGCTGACCAACAGTTAGCATAGATGCTAAGTACTGCTGACCAACAGTTAGCAAAGATGCTAAGTACTGCTGACCAACAGTTAGCAAAGATGCTAACTGCTGCTGACCAACAGTTAGCAACGATGCTAACTGCTGCTGACCAGCAGTTGGCATATATGCTAAGTACTGCTGACCAAAGCAAATATGCTAACTGCTGCTGACCAACAGTTAGCAACGATGCTAACTGCTGACCAACAGTTAGCAAAGATGCTAAGTACTGCTGACCAAAGCAAAGATGCTAACTGCTGCTGACCAGCAGTTGGCATATATGCTAACTGCTGC